GTGCAGATTTGTTTCCGGACGAAACCATGGTGACCGTGAAGACGAGTCGCTGGCATCAGGTCATGACCCACGCTGCGAAGAATTCCTACTTGGAACCGTTCAAAGTGGCCGAGCTCGTCACGGAAACTGAAAAGAATGCCCGAGATTCCTACAGGTTTTTTAAATTATTTATTTATTTGGAAAAACGTACTGTAATTGCTGGGAGACTGGACGCTTAACCCTTAGAATATTCTCTTTCTTTTTTTTTAGCCGCGAAAGTAAAGAGCGATTTTATCTGAAAGTAAAAGAAAGCCATTTATTTACTTATGGGAAACCTTTATTAAAAACTTTTTTTTTACAAAAGTAAGAAAAGATTTTTTTCTGAAAGTTTAGATAAAGTTTATCTCATTTCAATGATAACATTCACAGGCTATAAGTGATATCCATTGATAATCTTGATCAGAGGAAATAATCATAACCAAGCATCCTGGAATTCTAAGCGATATCTTTAAATATAAGAATAAAGCGCCCTAATTTTTACATTAAAATCTGCATCCTACATCTTCAAGTGAATAATTTACGAATATATTCCCCTTTTTGTAACAAGTGCTCATGTGCTGGACATGTCATGCAGAGGACATTTTGAGAAAATTAAAATGTGCGTTGAAAATGTTTATTTTTATTCTGAAGTTACCGTATGAACTATACAAAATATACATTCACAGGTATAATACTTATTTTTATGAAACGATTTGTGTCGTGTAATTGTATTTTAAAGTAGCTTTTCTTCGAACTTGGTAAGAGTTTAAATCCATCGACAAGACATGGTCAATTCTGAAAAACCCAGGATTAATTTTCATGTGAAATCCTGGATTATTATTGTCTCTTCAATCAGACTATTGCGACGTGCTTCGGGTTTATGATTAGATCTGTTTTTTTTCTGATGGAAGGAAACTCTCATGTAAGAAATACAGATTAGGCTGTTCGATATACGTAAGACAATCAAAATAATTGGACTAACAAAAAAAAATCTTAAAAATGTGACACACGCAAATATGTTGCGCATTTTTCCAAGCAGATAAACACACACACACACACACACACATACTTACGCTAAAGATCAAGCAGCTAGATTTCAAAAGAGCAAATGTTCTCGAATTCTAGCAATATCGAGCTATCAATAATTTTCCACGTCACTCATCGCTTAATGATTTTATTCAGGTTGATGGAGGTGAGCCGAGCTGACGGTGACAAGGACCGACTCTCGCAGAAAAACTCCATTCTGAAAACTGATGGTTGGGGAACACCCAATTACCAGGCCAACAGTTTTTCTGAGCTAGGAGAAACAACAAATAATCCCGAAAAAAAGAGCGAATGTTCGAGACAAGGCGGTGATTTCAACGATGCCGCCTTGGAAGAGGCGAGCATGGAGTTGGAAACTTTTGCTGATAAAATTCTGAGAATGCTCATATCTGTGGAGCGAGACGGAAATGAAGGTCCGCCATTTGCTGTAAGTGAATTTATAATTACTGTCAAATATTATTTTCTTGGACATTTTCCGCAAAGCCATTCTTGCACATCAATTTCCAGTGCCAGCAGCAGGATTTTCATTCGTCGGCATAACCAGAGTTTTTTTTAACCTGTAAAAGACGCAGGGGTTGACTATTAACAACAGTGGAGACGACGATGCATTTTGGTTATTTGTAAAGGGCGTTTTTACGACTGTCCTAGTTCTGCGTGTTTTAAAATGAAATTGCGAACGAACCCCGCTCCGCAGAATTTTCTCGTTGTTTCGGGTGGTATTTCAGAGCCCATTGAAATTAATGTTATCTCGTACGTGTCAATGTCACCACAGTTTATTTTTCCAAACGCCACATTTTTTGAGCAGAATTATTATTTTTAAAATATTATAGAGAATTTATATGCGCTACATTTATTTTACATCTAATGGCTATTAACAGAATTACGATTCCAACTAATTTTGGTTCTGGTTCATATTTTAAATTATGTTGATATTCAATAGGACAAAATTATAATTCTTCAACTTCGCATTTTATTGCTCGAGGAAAACTTCTTCTCATGGTTGAATGCCGAATGGATTCCGCTTATATTCATGCAAAAATGTGCACACGCAGACTCGGTGATGGTTTGCTCAAAGAATAATATTTTATCCGAATATCTCTCTTCTTTCTTGGCAGCTTTAAAAAATAAATTATGTTGAAGTATTAATTTATTTTTGGAGGAGGAGCATTTCAAATACGCTTGTGATGGCAGCATATCAATACTAAAATTAAAATATCAGAATGTGAAACTATTCAAAAGATAGTTCAATGAACTTCGATTGAAAGATTTTATGCGTCGAAGCTTCTGCTTTTATGATGAAATTGGTCTTCCAAAATCGATTTACCGTATTTATCTCTGGTGCACGTATAGTTGAATTAATTAGAAATACTTTTCCAGTTCGTCACATCATTTGTTTCTAGGCTAATATAGCTCAGGTATAACGTGCTAATTTCTGGTAGACTGCTCATATAACTTACTTTGATGAATTTTAATTTGTTCTGGAGAGAAAGACGAAATAAATCACCGAGGAAAACAATGTCGTAATCGTGTCTTTGACGTGTACAGTATTTGAACTTGCTGCCTGAGCTTGTAAAACCTGAATTCCCGTCCAAAAGTTTTCTAGAATTTGTCTGATTGAATTGTCTTATTACTAAATTTTTTACGCAAAAAAAAAAAATAACAGCGCGCCTTGCCAGACTCTCTCAAATGGGCTTCTGTGCGACTTCTGGTGAAAGCAGTTGCAAAATCCCACCTCACCCCAGACCGGATGCAGCTCAGTGCCAAGGCCTACACCAAGAACATGTGTCCAGCCCAGGAACCTTCATTTCCTGACAAGAAGTCCGATAATTGCGAACCCGTGGAACCCATCGTGGATCTGCCCAAAGAATCCTTTTTGTCGTTTTTGCCGTCACCGCCGCCCTGCGGAGACGGTGTCGAGCAGCAACAGAGCACACCTCGATTTCCCAGAGTCGACGCTGGCAATGACGATGCATCGACACTGGAAATGCTGTCGACTAACAGTGTCGGCGGTGGTGCTGAAGACAAGCAATCGCAAACTGAGGATGTGTCAAACGTGGTTTTCCTCCCTCCGGGTTTGGACGTTGTCAGTGGATGTGAAAGTCGGGAAGGTGAATGGCGTCAATCGGGTCCTGCTTTGCGGAGGAGATTCAGGTCAATTTCGCAGTTATTAAATTTTTTAATTGCATTCAAATTATGAGCTGTGTTTTCTTGAGTTTCCGTGATAGTTTACTTCATTTATGGTCGATTCATTATTCCGGGGGCTTTTAATTAAAACCGACCAGAAAGTCACACAGGAGAGTCTTCTGTCAAACTTTGTCGGGATATTGTACACAATTATTAAAGCTTATGGATAACATTTTTTTATTAATGACGTAATATTTTAATGTTGAACTTCAAAATCAAATTATGGGTCGATTGCAATATGGAAAAGTTGATGCCCTTCTGGCTTTTAGGAAGCAGTGAAACTTATTTTTTCACAGGAATTTAAAAAGCAGCTTCGTGGCATTTTTAAAGAAAATTATTCTTGGCTTTCGGTTCGATAGATAAGTACGGCATGGAAAGAAAAGAGCAGATTTGAATTATTTTGCTTTTTCCGATTTTTTGGATTAAGTTTTAAAAAATCGTGTTTTCCGACCATTTGGACACAGATACGCACAAGTATACGTTCATAAACTTTAAAATATTCGCATTATTTTTTCGTTTGCATAATATTTCCCCGAAGGTTTTTAAGTGTATTAATAAAAGATTTTAAAAGATATTCTGTGAAATTAAGCTCTGAAGAAATCCAGTCCGCCTGAACTGAAGAAGTTTCAATCCTGAGATTTGCTTTTCTTGATTTCTCAAAATCTTGTGACGATTTTCCTCATATTGAATCGTCATTATCATTCGATTGATGCTATTGGAGGCTTTTTCATTGAAACGTTCTATAATTTGAATAATAATGAAGCTCTGTGATTATTGGCTCAACTACAGAAGCTCCGACTGCAGTGAATAATTTTTTTCTTGCCCCCTATTTTTATCTATTTATCTTTCGTGAAGGTTTGATGCGATGATGGCATGCAAATTGCAAATTGATGTCATGATTATCCTACTCCATATATAGCTCGCATGAGCAGCGGACATGTTCCAGGCCAGACTCAAGCATCTTCTGTCCTCAGGAGATTAATGACCCTGATGGGCTGAAAAATATGTGCAGGCCGAGTCATCATCAGGCGAAACCGGCTGCATCTGAACTTTATTACGAAGACGATGAATTGATGGGATTTCATGAGAGATTTCAAACCATGGGATTTTCCATTCAAGTCCTCATTGCATTTGGTGTTTTCTGCGCGTTGCTGGTGTTTGCCTTCAAACACTGGTGACGTTTTTTTTTTCTCTCTCTCTTCTGTGGGACATCTTGGTGATTTTTCCTTCTTTTTCTTACTCTGACGCGGAAGTGCAAAAGTTGGCAAGGTGTTGAAAAAAAGAGAGCATCTGAGTCGAGAGATATTTTTTCCCCGCGAGATATGTTGAAATTTTCCAAGAAAAAGAAAAGGATGTGGATTATTGTGTAGGTCCGTGAGATGAATTTATTCGAGCGATAAGATGGATGAAAAAAAAGCAAGAAGGATCGATTTAATTGTGCACAGCGTCTCTATCGAAAAATAGTGACCGACGGATGTTTCAATAAACAAGTTTTTTAAGACTGAATTCTTCAGAACGATACTACTGTAGAATCAAATCTTTGATTCAAGACCAGCACACATCGAGGGTGACTCAATATGAGTCCCCATTCAACCTTATTGCCATAATGCCCATTTTGAATTTATAAAAATTAAGGAAATCTAAGCATTTTATTAATTTTATGGAAAACCACAAGATGATATACTGACGGTTGGATTCCCACTGATAACAATCCGAATATTAAATGCTATAGTTTGATTCGTAGATCCGATTTTTTCACATCTTCGAGTAGTGACATCTGTGGTGCACAGAATGAAATGTTTTCGGAAGTTCTTTAAACCATTCCCAGAGATCGCTCTAGCATATTTTGCGATGCGTGGATTGATCGATTCCGCGATTATTACTCGTCTGAAAAGTATTAATCGAATATTGCATCTTACTTATGACTCATATCAGTTCAAATAATTATGGTTTCAGAATTCGGTGTGTCAAGGAAAACATTAGCATTTTTCATGAATAATTCGCGCACAGCGGTACAGTATAATCTTCACGAGATTCAGACGAGGCATTTCAGGACAATATTTAAAAATAAGAGCGACGTTGCTGTGCGGAATTCAGATTTTCAAAATTATAATAAATAAGTAAGGTGCCAAGGCAATTTTTCCGAAAGTGTATTTATTCGCATATAAAAAAATTGTCGATTTTAGCAATAAGTCCAATCTTTGCCATTCAGAGGTCGACACGATTTAGGGCAAGGCGGCAGTCTGACTCTTGAACCTTCTGTCCCCCGCGGGGCTCCGACAAAGGGGGTTTCACTCCTGTCGTCCGGGTATTTCCTTCGCGTCGGAAACGGAGTGCTGAAGAAGCCCATCGAATTGCACAAATAAGCAGCAATCTAAGGATTTGTAGGAGTGTTTCTTGGACGAGATCACCATTTGAGCTGCCATTTTCCTGAGTAACTGCTTGGTTTTTCTCGACCGAGATGCATTAGCTCCCCACATCCCAGCTGAAATGAAAACGATATTAATAGCTGTTTCGGTTTTTTTTTGGTCTGGAAAATTCTTCGTAATATTTTTTTACAGTATATATTTATTTTATACACAACGACGTGAGTGTTTCTGCTGAGAGTACAGAGCGCCATAATTTTTTGGTACTTTTTACAGTTTCATGAAGTAATATTCTACGCGGAATGCGTGAAAAGCGAAATGGAGATTTCTCTATTTGATTACAGTACAGTATTTAAAACTGTTTCAAATTCTTAAGAATTTTACGGAAGCAAATATCAGTTATTGATGTGTATCTTAAAATATGTAACAACTTTCGACGCATGGGCCACTGTGGAATAAATTAAGAGTACGTTCGATTTGAATTATTTTGTTCTCGGCAGAAATTAAATACTTTCATACCAAGAGGACATCAAAAACGTTTCCCCAATTTTAAAGAATAATTATTGAAATTTTTAGATGGCATCAGAATTCGTTCACCATTATTTTTTGACGAAGAATTGGAATACTTTTCAGAGGATAAGTCGTTTGCGCAGTTTAAAAAAAAATAATTACTCTTTTTAGAGGACGTCGGAAGACACTTACCAAAATACGCAAGTACCCAATTATTTTCCGAAAATTCATGCAATTTTTGTAGCACTGTACAGCATCGAGAGACGTTTCAAATCGTTTGCTACAATTATTTTCAAAATACTTGAATACATGTTTAGAAGACGTTGAAAGACGTTCATCAAATAACCCAACTATCCAATTTTCAAAAAATTGATATGATTTTTGTACCACGGGGCATCTTGAGACGTTTGCTCAATTTTTTTTATAATTGAATAATCTTTTGGAGTACGTGAAATGACGTTTACCGAATTACCCAAGTACCCATTTCCCCCCGAAATTTTTGTATAATTTTCACAAAACAGCATATCAAAAGACATTAGCCCAATTTTTCTTGAAGAATCTTTCTGATTTTCAGAGGACAGCAGAATTCGTTTTACTATTTGGAAATACTGTAATTAAAGTAAGGCATCATTATATTCGTTTTTTTTAAATACTTTCCGGATAATTAAATTTATATTATAGCACGTCGAAAGACGCTTACCGAATTACCAACGAACCCAATTGTTCCCCGAAACATTTATATTATATTTAGAATACTGTACATCGAAAGGCCTTTTCTCAGCTGTTATTTTTTCGAAGAAGCAGAATACATTTTTTGAGGACATCGAAAGACAGACTCGATTTTTTTTAAACTTCAACTAATTTTCCATGACATCAAAAGTCAGTTACCCAAAATCGGAGCACCGTGAAAGGGGTGGTCGTGCATTACATGCAAAATTTTCCCCGTTTCCAGCCACTCCTTCACTGCATCCGCTTCCCGAGAACTCAAAGAACTGTCCGCATCTCTGCTGAGGAAAACATCAACTGCTGAGTCCACCATCGGCAGGAATCTCCATAAAGTTCCCATCGCAGCTGCGGATATGACACAACGGTCCTCATTATAATAATAATACAGTCAACTAAACCCCGATTTCAGGACATCATTTGTCCTGGCACATTTTGTGGCACTAAGCGACAGTGGCATTGAATCAGTGACATTGTATTATATCTGAGAAGATAATTGAGAACTTATGCTGTAGGTAAAATAAGCTTGTTTGAAGAATTGTAAAGCCCTTGAATCTGTTTTATGTTTTATTAGGAAGAAAGCGACAGGAAGTAATTTTAGGCTGAAATGAGCTGTTTTTATTTAATTTCAATTTTTGTGATGCATTATTATATATGCATAATATTAGATTTTTGCACATGTTGGGTCAAATAGCAGAGTGGAACTGTTTCTTGCAGCTTTGTATCAACCTTTCAATGAGAACACGCAACTCCACAATCAGGTAGAGTAATTCTTAATTTTTGGAAAAGACTGACCCAATTATTGAGATATTCTGTGCTGTAGACTGTAGAGGACATTCAAATAATACCACCCAATTACAGGTGAATTTTCGAAATCATTCTGAGCATGGGCATGTGATTCTCATTGATAACCTAATGATATTCCGTCAAATATGTCTTAATTTCTCTGATTTTGGCCTATTTTCTTCATTCAGGAGAGACCATTTTTTGCGGCACAAAGAGAGTTGGTACTAAATTGGGGTTTCTTTGAAAAAACACAATGGAGTGAGATTTGTTCGAGGGACATTGGTGGCACTATGCGAGGTTGGCATTAACCCTTGGATGGCAGAGGGTTCTTTCCCTTTGCCAGCCAAAGTTGGATTATTTTTGTCTGCTTGGGGCGTTTCAAGTTTTCTGAAGGTCAGAAAAGCCCTTTCCAGGTAAGCAGAGGCAAAGTCGGGATTAATCTGAAAAAAACCTGATGCATAACATACGGTTTTTTTCTTCAATTTTCCATCAAAATTTCTCTGCCCAAAAAGGAAAAAACATACGTCCTCAACTCCCTGTTGTCATTTTTTCTTTTCTTGATTCTCTGAGGTGCAACAAAATTTCGCGAAAATAGTCCAAATTCGCCGCCCAAGGGTTAAATTGAGGGTTGACTCAGTGCAATACATTTTTTTTGCACAATTATTTGCAAATCGTTCAACAAAAGAAGACTCACCCGTGACTGCAGGAAAGGCGATGAAGTCCTGGATGTAACACAGGCTCAAGAACGGGTTCGCCGACCTCGCAGCGCAGAGAATTTCGCATTCCTTCTCGGAATCCGACGTGAAATTATGGTAGATTCGCATCTCCCAACCCGGGTAATACTTGGGAAGCAACCTGCTATTTTCCGCTGCTCCCTCGACCCACTTTGAAGGGATGGAATAATACGTTTATTCTCGCCTCAGGGTTTGGTATGCACTGCAGAAATAACTTCGTCCCAACTCGAGGACTTTACATTCGGCTCCATGACAAGAATGACGCGAAAAATGTTTAAAAACATTTTGGCGTTTTTTTTTGCGATATAAAAATTAATTTACGTGGGAAAGGGCTTCTTCAAAGACGATCTGCACTCTACGCTCTTTAGCCTTAATACTCTTTAATATAGGGAACTAAATTTAAAATATCGAATTCTAAATTTTGCATAAGACAAAAAGAGGCATACTAATGAATAAAAACAAGAAATCAACTCACTTTCAATATAAATTGATGAATATGAAAAAGGTTACTCTGTCCTCGTTTGTCTGCATTTTGAAAATATGATGCAACAGATACCTTCACATCCGATATTACATAGAATTTTTTAGGCAAACGAAGTCTCAGTTGAAAATTTAAAATGATAAACAATGCTCAGTTTTGTCGCCGAGAAACTAACTTGAATTTAGAAGCGATAGACCAGGTGAATTGTCTTTCTCCAATAATCGTTAAAATTGTGCGACCTGCGCCGTTTCCCAAGCTTGGGTCATTTCCTTTTAATTTATACAGTAAATGAAAAAAAAAACCAAGTTGGTTCGTATAGGACGCCAAAAAATAACAACCTCCGAAATCATCAGCATGAAAGAATGAACAAATACAGGAAAAATGAATTTTCCAAAGAAATTATGACGATGAAATTTGCTGTGGATTAAGCGTCTGTCTCGCTCTTGAAATTTTTTTCATATAATACAGGTAGACTCTGTGCTATCATGCTTCAAGGGGAAATAACCTCGATGATGGAATGTCATTTTCATAGGTACTGATGCACACATTTTGGTAAAAAGAGGCCTGAGTCGACTGGACCATAAACAAATTGTATTTCCTGTAGAATATTACTGGAAGGGAAATTGCTGTCGAGCGGTTCCGCGTGTATAATTCGCATCATCCGGCTCTTCTGGTCATCCGTTTGGATTGTGGATATCAAAACCAAAAAAAATATTGAATCAATTGGCCTGGGATTTCAAGAAAATTACTGGAACTATTGCAACCCTGAATCAACAGATGCCGGTAAATGAGAATATATGAGATGCACTCTGATTTTCAGCATCGGCTACAGTAATTCAAATTCAACATATATTCACTAAGCCAAAAAATTCAGCTATTTGAATGCAAAAATAGGCATCTTAATGA